AACAGAACAATTGCAATGCAATTACAACATTGACGGAAAGCGGCACGGAGTTGAAGAACCAACTGCAGAAACAGAACCACAAAGGATTCAAGAAGATGGAGAGTGACAAAGAAAATAAGAGAGAAGGAGGAGCACAACAGACCCCTACCCAATGCAGGAGAAAAGAGTGCACCACTAGTTCAACAAAGAGCATGAATGTACAAGTTGCTCCTCCTCCTCATCCAAAACAAAGCAACCGCAGTTCAAGTACAAGACCAATGCAGAAAACGTCACAAAGCTCTGCAGTTGCAGGACCAATACAAAGAGAAACACAAAGTGACAGTGATATGAAGAAGAAATTTGAATCAAGCAAGAGGAAATTTGAGGAAAGGTTAGAAGAATAAAGGGACGCCAAGAGACGGATTGTAATGGTGGACTTTCATCAAATGCCTAAATCTGCTAATGACCCTCGTGCTCCCAAGCGCTGTTGGAATAGGAAAAGGTTTTGAGATTATGATGATTCGAGTTGTTGTAAATTTCTCACCAGAATTTTTGTTCTTACTTTTTTTCTTGTAATTTTGGAGAGTATCAGAATTCACTTCATTTTTTAATTTTGGTGTGGGGTATGCCCTTTCTATATATGAATGATCTTTTACTTCATAAAATTAGCTCGAAGGATCAATCAAGTATTCATTCCCACATTCCCTTCTCATATTATATATGTTGATGATTTGGCTTTGATGTGATTCCTCATTAGTATTTGGGATCCAAAGGGGTCGTTTGCCCTCTTTCATTTGAATAAGTGCATTACTTTGCATTTTAAAGTATCATCCTTTTTCTCAGGGAACTCAGAGTTGCTTTATTATTGTCTTTATCCTATTAAAAAATATCATAGCTTTTTATTCTTGTTATTAGTAAGTTCATGTAGTTGCACTTACAGGTGAGGCTGAGAGTTGAAACCCCTCATGATTTAGCATGTCTCCCTTTGTTTATTTTTATTAGTATTTAGTACTTAAATAACTAGAAGTAGATTTCATACCTCTGCGAGCAGATTGGTTTCAAATTTTGGAAATATTATAAGCTCAAGGAGATGCATAACCATTTACAAAGTTTAGATCAAATTTTCTATCCCTAACTGTAGTTAGTGGAGTTTGTACAGCATCAAGGATTACCAGAACTAAAAGCTCACAAAAGCTGGCTCCTATGAGCTGATACAGTGTCCAAATAGTTCAGCACCATTAAGATTCCTGATCATAAGAAAAAGCCAGGCATACTTCCATAGCACAATATGGTTGAACTTTCCTGTGGATGAAGATCTTACTTTGAGGGCATGTCCCAAGGTAAATTATCTTTTAATCCGAGTCTTAAAATCTTTTTGATGATTCAGAACTTAGTTATTGTAAATTATCATCTTAGCTGAACTCATGGTTTAGTCACACTCTCCCTTACACTGGTACTTATGCAATCAGGATGGTATTGGAGTCTGGTCTCACCATCGACTAACCTGCCTGAGTTTAAAAGTTCCAATCTTGAATATACAGAAAGCTACTCAATTTACAAATCTTGTAAATGCATACATATAGATGTTTAGATCAGGTGAATTTTGAAGATTTGTAGCAAGTATTTATGACTGTAACACTACTTATCCTAATAGATTAAGTTGACTGGTTCCATCACTTCTTTTCTTTTGGCATAATATCAATATCATTCAGCAAAGTCAAACAATTTTGTAGGTTACACTCTTTCTATCTCTGAAGAAAATTGATGACCTATTTAAGCAACAAACAATCAGAAAGGGCTTTCTGATCGTAAAGACTGTAAACTTGGCATCCTTGTGTTCACTGGAGATGAAATCTGAAAAAGAATAGCTTAGTCTCAGTTTAAATGCAACATCTGCAGCACCATGTTTGAAGTCATATCAAACCAGAACAAAATCAAGTTCAATTTCAAAAAGGTAAAGGATCTGCAGAGTTTCAACCATGATAATGCTAATAAACAGGTACTAATATTAAGTCGTTGAATTGGGGTTCCATACATGATATACTTTTCCATATATTGTATTAACAAATGTGTCCACACCAGTTGAATCTTTCTTGTAGTAATTGAGATCTAAATGCTTATATATATTACCTCAATAGCAGGCAACAAATAATTTAACAAATGCAACTTTGTGCAGAAGAGAAACTGTATACTCTACACAACCAAAAGGCGAAAGCAATAAAGAAGGGAATGTAAATTACAATAATCCAGACCATAGTATGAGCAGCAGCTTTAATTGAAACAAAATGAACTACATATTTCATTAATCAGATTCCAGAATAGTACTAAACCAAAGGTTTACATATCAAGTCATTTGATTTACATAACCAATCCTAACATTCAACAAAGATTCCTAAGCCCTTTCTCCACGAATCCTTCTAGCAAGCTGAATATCCTTGGGCATGATAGTTACCCTCTTGGCATGGATTGCACAGAGATTGGTATCTTCAAAGAGCCCAACAAGGTAGGCCTCAGCAGCCTCTTGTAGAGCAGCCACAGCACTGCTCTGAAACCTCAGATCTGTTTTAAAATCCTGAGCAATTTCCCTCACAAGCCTCTGAAATGGAAGCTTCCTGATCAACAACTCGGTAGACTTCTGGTATTTCCTGATTTCTCTTAGAGCCACAGTTCCTGGCCTGAAACGATGAGGTTTCTTCACTCCTCCGGTGGCCGGAGCTGACTTTCTGGCAGCCTTTGTGGCTAGCTGCTTCCTTGGAGCCTTTCCACCAGTTGATTTACGGGCAGTTTGCTTGGTACGAGCCATATCAATTGTATGCTAAAATTAAGTAAAAAATGGTAGATTGAAAAATGCTTTGATTGTGTAGCAATGGTGAATTTGAGAGATATTATATAGGAGTGAAGTAGGAGGGAATTTGAAATTTTGGGCTGTGAAATTGGAAGTGAATAATAGCCGTTGGATTATAAAGATTTGGTGTAAACGGTTGATATCTCACAACCAAATGTTTGCTAGGATACCAATCCGCGTGCTACTCTATTAACAAATAGATATTTGCCACGTGGGTTTTCATTTTTACCTTTATTTTGGGACAACTGATTAGTCATAAAAAATAAATTAAAAAAACGATACTTTCAAGTTTCAACTATATAGAATATAGTATATACATTCAAATAATTAATTTTATATAACAATATTAAAATAATATTGATTCATTGCAGTGCTTGAAATTTAAAGAATACACCAAAAGACAAAATTGATCATTTTATAAACACACAATAATAGTTTCCGCATAATGCGAAAAGTTTGACTTTTTGATAGACTTTAGAGTATTCAATAATCTGTAGAGAATAAAAAAGATAAATGTAAGCATAGTAATGTGGGTTCATGACAATTACTAAAATATAAATAAGTCAACAAATTAGATAGTCACGTAAGAAAAGATGCTACAATTAACTAAACATTATTCTATTTCTCAACTATTACAATGACATCCACGTTAAATAAACTAAACATTTATCATTATATTTTCTACACAATTTTTTTTCTCAAATTTTATAAGAGATAGGTGTCAAAAACACACCTAAACTATCACATTTTATTGAGTTTTATATTTAAACTATTGAAAGTGTGAGTTTGATACATAAACTATCACTTATTAGTTTGAAAACACATATATTTGAAAAATTAGTTGTTGGCCAAGAAAATTACAAATTCATTTTTTCACTTTCACTATATTTTTCTTTTTCAAATTTATTATTTTTACAAAAAAATTATCACATTTGAATTATATTTCATGTTTTTTTTGGGAAATGTACACTCAAACAATCAAATATTATTTGTAAAAACTATAATCAAACACATCTTCGAAAATTCCTCGTAAGTGAAAAAATATTCATATGATATGTAGTAGCTCGTATATTGGATTTTATTTATGGCATTATGTATAAACCATATTTTCTTTTAAAAAAACACATTTAAATTTTAAATATTCTTTTTAAAAGTATGGTCAACTACAAGTCCAATTCCAACTTAAAATTCTATATAAAGTAATTTTACGCCCGATTAGCTTCTTCATTTACTCTTTTTTTTGTGTGTGTGTTTTCCAGCGCTGGAAAGTCTCCTAACTCATTAGGAGTATAACTCTTTCTAACAAAGTCAGTTCATTTGCTTCTACTTAAACTCATTTAGTCATTTTGATATTGTTACTACTTTCTAAACTAGGTTTTTTGGCAACTTGATTGACTAAATAATGAGATAATCAAATTATTTACATGTACCTAAACAATATTTGCAAATACGTGTCTATACTTACTACATTTGTTAAAAAAAAAAAAACATAGAATTGGTGATGAGTCAATTTCCCACTCAACAATTGAGAAGATTCAATGTTCTTCCTCACTTGAAACTTTATTGGCTTTGTGACACATGCCAACCACCAACTAAGGTAACATTTGGAGCCCCATACTTATCATCATGTCTGCTATCTCTTCTCCCTCTGATAGTTTTTGGTAACCTAGAAGAAGAGCTGCTCCATCAGATTAAGTAAGTTTTCATCTTAAGCTTCTAGTATATCCTTTTGTTACCAATTAGAGTTGTGCTAGAGTGGTAAGTACTCTCTCATCCTTAATCAAAGGTCTCGAGTTTGAGTCCCTGGTATGAAGTTGCCTTTGTTAGATAGCGCTTTACCCCAATGGGACTTTACTGAACAAATATAATATATCATTTTGTGGAGTCAAACTGATCTGGTGGAAGACAGCCAGAGTAAATTAAGAAATTAGTTTAGTAAGAATTCCCAAAATTTCTAGAGAAGTTCCTTTTAATTTGACTTAAATACTTGTGTTTGCTAAAACTTTCTGAGTAATTGTTCTGAAATTTCTAGTGTAATCTGTCCAAGGTCCTCTTAATGCATAAAGGAGTCTAGTTTCAGTGACTAATATGATGCCTAATCAGGGGACCACAATTTGAGTTTTGCCTCTTCCTAAGAATTTACCAGGGGCTGTTCTTATTTTCATTACAAAAAGAAATGAGCATAGACACCTGTGAAGATCAGGTGGAGATGGCAGACTGTGCTGTCGTTTTTGTACTTGACAAACTCACAAACTTCATAGCTGAAGAAGCAATATTGCTTCAGGGAGTGAAGCATGATATCCAGTATATCAAAGATGAATTGGAGAGAATGATAACCTTTCTTGGTGTGGCTGATGCTTTCGAAGAGGGAGATGCTGAGGTCAAAGTCTGGGTTAGGCAAGTGAGAGATGTCGCCAATGACATTGAGGATGTTCTTGATGAGTCCATGCTCTTGTCATATGATCATCACTACCGTGGATCTTGTTGTTTAATTGCTAAATTGGTTTTCTCAATCAGAAACATCAAATTCTGCCATAAACTTGTCGCTGAAATCCAAGCCATCAAATCAAGAGTTGACAATATTGCAATGGGACATCATAGGTACCGTTACAAATATTATGTCCCGGAGCAAGGTTCAAATTCTAGCCATGCATACGATACTGCAAATGATCGCAGAGGTGATGCTTTATTGTTAGAAGAAGCTGAGCTTGTGGGCATTGAAAATCCCACACAGCAGCTAATGGGTTGGCTCGTGGAGGATGATCCTAGACTTAAAGTGATTTCGGTGGTGGGAATGGGAGGTTCAGGAAAGACCACCCTGGTTAAGAAAGTGTATGAGGATGCAGCCGTCAAGAAAAACTTCAATAGCCTTGCTTGGATAACAGTTTCCAAGTCCTTCAAGGTTGAAGAAGTTTTGAAAGACATGATTCAACAGCTCTACGATGAAGTGAAGCAGCCAGCACCTGAAGGTCTAAACACCATGAGCAGTAACAGGCTTAAAACAATAGCAAAAGTATTCCTGCAATCGAGAACGTATGTGCTAGTTTTTGATGATGTCTGGACCATTCAAGCTTGGGAAGCTATCAGATATGCATTGCCTGATGTAAATAATGGAAGTCGTGTTATCCTCACAACACGTCTTTTGGATGTGGCTTCCTTTTGTAGCATAGAGACCAATGGCTATGGAGGTGAAACCCTTGTCTACTGAAGAGTCGTGGATTCTTTTCTGCAAAAAGGCATTTCATGGTTATTCATGTCCTTCACACTTGGAGAGCATTTCAAGGAACATCTTGAAAAAATGTGGTGGACTGCCGCTGGCTGTTGTGGCCGTTGGTGGGGTTTTGGCTACAAAGAACAGGAACAACATTAGGGAATGGGGAATGCTTAATCACAGCCTTGGTCCTGAGCTGGATAGCAATGACAAATTTGAGAGTATGAGAATAGTTTTGTTACTCAGTTTCAATGATCTCCCCTACTATCTTAAGCCATGTTTCCTGTATTTGAGCATTTATCCCGAGGATCATCTAATTGAGCGCAATACACTGATTTACCGGTGGATAATGGAAGGATTTGTAAAACAAAAAGAGCGGGGGACAGTTGAACACGTTGCAGACGGCTATCTCAATGAGCTCATCAACAGAAGCTTGATCCATCCAGTGCAGTACAATGATGACGGTAGCATGAAATTGGGTAGGATTCATGATTTATACCGCGAGCTTATACTTTCAAAATCAAGAGATGGTAACTTTACTGCAACAGTTGATGAGCATAATAAATTGTGGCCTGAAAAAACTCGATGGCTGTCAATGCATGGCATGTTGGGCAACCTACAAGTGAAAAGGTCAGTCACTAAACTTCGCTCTTTGCTTACATTTGGTGTAGCAGATCCACAGTCCTTGTCTTGCATAAGTCAAGTGCTCAGTAGCTCCCGGATGCTAAGAGTTTTAGATTTGAGAGGAGCTCCTCTAAATATGATCCCAGAGACGATTTTCCAAATGTTTCACTTAAGGTATCTAAGCTTGAGGAATACCAATGTGAAAGTGCTTCCAAGATCCATTGGAAGACTCAAACAGCTAGAAATATTGGATCTGAAGCAGACATATGTCAGTGAGTTGCCTGTGGAGATTTTAAAACTTGAAAATCTCAGTCACCTTTTAGTCTATAGCCTCGTATCCTATTCGTATCTTCCTTACAATTCTTCACCAGGTTTTAAGGCTTTCCGAGGAATTGGAGCTTTGAGAGCCTTGCAGAAACTTGAGTGTATTGAGGCAACCCCTGGCAGTGGCATACTTAGAGAAGTAGGGTTGTTGAGTGAACTGAGACGACTTTGTATTCTGAAGTTGAGAAAAGAAGATGGGAGGACTGTGTGCTCATCAATTCAAAAGCTTCGCAAGCTTGAGTCTTTAAATCTTAAATCAGTGGAAGAGCATGAGATCCTTGATCTTTCTTACATGTCATCTCCTCCGCCTCTTCTTCAGCGCCTGTATTTGACAGGACACATTGTTAAGTTGCCTGCGTGGATTCAAGATCTTCATTCCTTGGTCAAAATTTACTTCAGGTGGACTCATTTAACAAAAGATCCACTGAAATATCTACAAGATTTGCCCAATCTTGTCCATCTTGAATTTCTTGTACGATACACAGGAAAGGAACTCTACTTTGAGCAAGGGAAATTTCAAAGGCTTAAGCTTTTAAATTTGGACAAGTTGGAAGGACTAAAGCAGGTGACAATCGGGGAAGGTGCAGTACCTCATCTTGAGAAGCTGGTTATCCAGAGATGTGCTTTGCTTGAAACTGTGCCAACTGGAATCGAGTGCCTCCTAAATCTGAAGGTTCTTGAATTCTTTGACATGCCTGATGAATTTATCATGACATTGCGTCCAGACAAACAAGGTGCTGATGCTTGGAAAGTTTCACATATCCGTGAAGTATTCTATACATATTGGAGGGACGGTTGTTGGATGGTACATTCACTAAAGGAAAAGGAGAAAAATCAGATTTCTGATCAGTCTGGAGCTGTCACTAGGACCTATGGAAGGCAAAATTCACTCTAGTCGCTTGAAGGATGTAGAGCTCCACTCTCCTTCCAATTTCTGTGTAAATAATCTTTCTCTGATCCTTCATCAGACTTGAAAGCACTTTACTTTTCCTGTTGTAATAAGCAGTGTATATAATTTTTTTATGCTTTTTTAACATTGCAAAAGTGAACTTACTGTAATATAGTGCAACTTTCAGTAATTTGTTTAGAAGAGTTTTGTGGATTCTCAGAGTTGCATTTTCCAACCTCTTTGTTTGTATGTTTGTGCACTTTTTCATCTATGCATAGTTAGACTATATGACTTAAATGAAGTCCAATTACATTTGGGGAATCTATTAAGTTGACAAGACGAGCTCAACCCATGCTCTTCAAACCTAAAAAATCCGCTAGAATTACTTGAAGATCAAAGTACGCTCAAGCCCTAGTTTGTGCCATTATAAAAGAGTTTTTATACGACTAAAGGAAGAAAAAAAAAAGAAATACATTGAGAAGCTCAACTCTTTCAGTGGTGATCTGCAAGTTATCCGCAAACCAATAAGTCTTTGTCTCCAAGTGGTGAGTCGCATACCTCGGTTGTGATCAAAGTTTGGCTTGGCATTCGTAGTGAAATTCCAACAAGTATTACGTCCATTCAAGATCGAAAAAATTTAGAAAGTGAAATAGTTTTAATCATTCCTTAGGGGTTGAATCTTTCTCTCCTATTATGTCACGTGAAGATACAAATTCAAAAAGAATTCATTTATTTGTCTTTTTTATTATTACTAGTTTCTGAAAATATGCATTGCACATTTATCCCTTATTATTTTCATACAATTTGTACATGCCTAATTTTATATATTCTAACCCACGTTTCCAAAGACCATTATTTTTATAAAATTTGTACATGCCTAATTTTATGTATATCCTACTATGTGTTTAGTCAAACACAACAATATCATCTAATTTTTTAATACAATTTTAGTTATTACTCTCACCGTTTCTTTTTAGTTGTCATATTGCATTTTTTTAGAATCAATTTGACTAATTTTCAAAGTTAAATTAGATTACACTAATTTGATATTTTGAAATAAGAATTTAGATATTCAAAAACTATATGAAAAGTTGTATAGACTGCAATTTTTTTCCATATAAATATGACGAAAAAATACATCTTAAAATATTAGTTAAAGTTTATATCGCGTGACTATTAAAAAAATAGTGACAATTAAAGAAAACGAAGGAAGTAGGAAATATTGAATTGTATAAAACTAATTAAGATAATGTAACTTCTAATGTTATATAATGAATTTCTACTCTACATTTATCAATAAAAGAATTAACAAAATTGTGGGATATATTATTGGAGTTGCTGGTATAGAATTAGCATTGATACCTATAATATTTAAAAAATGATTAAAATTAAAAGGGCCAACTTGCTTTTTACCAACAAAAAAAAGGGTACAAGTATACAAATAACAATGTACCACATTTGAGGCAACCATGTTATTCCCATGTATACAAGTCCAGCAATTCCATTATCTTTTAGAATGTGATAAATAATCTTCAAGTTTAATCAAAAGTATACAATTTTAGTTTTGTTAAAAGATGCAATAAAGAAATAACAAAAAAATTAAATTCATACGGAAAATACCTTTTCAAGAAGTAGCATATAGTAGGCAACCAAGAGTACATCCTCATGTTGGTTCACTACCATATCTAAAATTTAATTCTGCTATAAACTCTTCGTTATTGAGAAAATGGATGAAAAAGTTGGGTATATTTTATTAGGAAAACAAATCCTTGATTGATTACATGTACATTCAAAAGTTAATATTGCGGTAAAGGTTGGAAGATGAAGCAATTCAAAATTGACATTAAATAAACATATTATTAAAGAAGCACTATACATACATAGTTTAGAAAATAGTAAATACACATTATTAAATCTATATGAATTCAAGATATACGTTTCACAAACTATAGGGAGAAGCCTAAGCATCCAAGTTATTCATATACTAATGACATACGGGCTACGGCTTAAATGTGTAATCTCTTACTTATTTATTAGCTAGTCTCTGGCACGCGCAAAGCGTGTGTACCCTATACGTCAATAAGTAAAAACTCTTATAAAGTTAAATAAATTTTATTTTTAAAATGTAATACCAACTTAACCTTAGTGAATCCATCTTACTATTTTCTTCCTTTAAAAACAAGGGTGAAATTATAACATTATAATATTAGATCGATCTTGTGCATAACTTTAAAACAATGAACCAAACCTTCCAAATATAATTTATAAAAAAACACAAAATGTCGAATAAAATGAATTTGATTCATTTAATATAAGGTAATCAAACTTGATCATTGTAAGACAATGTAGAAGTCATACTTGATATTTCTAACCTTATGAATTCATCTTCCTCAAAATTCTTTTCGGTATTTCTAAATAAAGTGAAGATGTCAAATTTGCTATACACTCTATTGTCAATCTCAAATCAGAGATAGACTGATTTGAAAAAAATATATATTAATGATCAAAATCTTACTAACAAATAATAGAAGATGGAAAAAGAGGAGAAAAGAAGGAACTTTACCATAGGAGTACGTATAACTGCTAGTGGAAGAACCCAAGATGACAAATTTGTATTTGGCAATGGTATATATTGATTTAGCTGCAACTCTTCATATTCTTTAATTTAAGATTAAAAAGGGAAAGCATTGATTCATGTACTTATTTAAGAACAATATTCAATTTTAATTATTTTACCAATTACATATGACTCTTAAAATTCTAGAAATCGTAATTGACTCTTGTTCTTCTACATTACCTTTCTAATAAATAACGTACCATTCAAAAATTAATTAAAATATTATTATTTAATATTTAATTAATTAGATGTTTAATTTAGCTTAGGGGTAAAATGGTAATCCAACTTTTCATCTTTGGAGCTTCCCACTTTTAATAATTTAATTAATTAATAAATAAATAAATATATATATATATATAATATATGATATGAATGATTGTATGAATAGTATTTACTACAATTTTTTGGTTTTCTAGTATTAGTATAATATGATATAATTACTATCTAATATATAATTGAATAAATATTTTATAACATTTTAATTTAGAGTATCTTTTTTTTAATGATATTATTATAGTAACTCAACTTAATAGGGTTATTTTGGTATTTCAACTTTTAGTCAAATTAATATTAGTGATAGAATTTTAGTAAGACTTTTTCATTAAAAACAAAGTAAAGCTCTTGAGTTAATGATCGTGGGGAGAAGAATCAAAGGTTTACATCTTTTTATTCATAAATTCTAACAAGGAAAATTTAATAATTGACAAAGTAAATAAAAGTATATAATGTTATCGTGGGTAACGTTTTATTATTTCGTTATTTAATATAGCAGAGATGGTGGTCAAAGTTGATTCTTGAAAAATGAAACATGACAAGTAAAAATAAATGAAGAGGGTAATTGCATATTAGCTTATACGTTAAGGTGATTATCGTAAGAAACTAAAGTGAAAAAATCTGTTAAAATCTTAAATATTAATTTATTTATAAAAAAATAATAATTAATTTATCAAATAAGTTTTATATTTATATAAAAATAATTCACATTTGAACTAAGTATGGTAACATGTGAAATGGTAATTTTCTTGGTAAATGACAAAAGAAAAGATCAATAAATTTATCATTACTTGAGCTTGAAGAAAGTAAAAAGTTACTAAATTTGTGAGTTACCAAAAGTATCTCCAATCATGTACAGTAAAAGGAAACAGAAGTAAAACTAAGTTTCTAAATTTTTTCTAAATTTCTTTTATAAGAGCGCATACTAAACATGTCACATATACTTTTCTTGTTTCTAAACTTTGATAAATTGTTCATCATTTGTTTTTGTTCTTGTTCGCTAGTGTAAGAAGAAGTTCCTGAGTTATTTTTTCCATTGCAAAGAAGCCTGATGATATATTCACCTTGATAGAAGTTGTTCACCAAGATGGAGCATCTAAGTATCCCACATAGTTCAAGAAACGCAAAAATAAAATAATCAAGTTCTTAATGGATGTCTCAGTAGCATCAGACGACTGCATTCTTGTCTTCTTGATGATGAAGAAGAAGTGAGTGTGGGTGAAGAAGTGACCAACATTGAAGAGAGAAAAACAGATTCATGTCCAAAGCAAGAAACCCTTGATGAAGAAGATTGAAGTGGCAATCAATAAGAATGTACAAACTACTATGCAGAAAATACACAACAATTACAATGCAATTTGGAAAAAAAAATGGAAAGCGACCGAATTGGTTCAACAATTAAAAGATGATGGGATGATATTGAATTACTTATTTAATTCTTTTCATACATTTTATTTTCGTAAATTCAAAAAATATATGATAATGAATTATAATTTAATAATTAATTTTTTTTCAATTGATAATATAATATTTCTTGTAATATTTTATAAGATAAGAAAAAACATATATATAAATTATTGTACGTTACATAACAATACAAATATTTAAATCCCTCTTATTAGATTATAGTTTTGAAAACTTTTTAAATAAAATTAATTGTTACACAAACTAACAAACTACCAAAATTATTCTAAAATTTTTTTAAAATAAAATTAAAACTTCATTTGATTGAATATGTCAATTAGAGTATCATATTTTTACTTGTATAATATTTGGTATTACTTTTAACTACAAAAACCAATATTATAGTGATTGTTATCTTAGAAGACATTCAAAGTTAAGACAATGTTTTTTTTAAATTTAATTGTTTGATAATCTAATTAGTTTAAGCTTGAAATGTTTAATATAACATCTCAAATAATTGAAGACAATCTTACAAAGTCAATATTAAAACATGGTTTATTTAAATTGATGTGAATTAGACAAATTAAGAAATAGAAAGTAATTGTAAATTTAACTGTTAACGATATTAATTATAATTACACCAATAATAAAATTTCAAAAATATTTGTGAAATAATTAGTAAGGAATACCAACAAGAGTTGTGATGGAGCGATAAGTACTCCTTTCACTTAACCAAGAGGTCTCGATTTGGTGTGCCCTTGGATACGAACTCTCCCCAATGTAAAATTTTCCGGGAAAAAATTAGTAAGAGATTACCAACAAATTATTAAGAAAATTTTAATTTATAGTAACAATAAATATATATAAAAAAATTATATTCTACTTAGCGGTACTTTGGTCCTTAACACGGTGCTTCTCACAATTCACCCTTTTAGATTTCACGTCCATTAAAAATCTATGTAAGTTTACCATTGTATCTTTATTTAGTGTTCTTTTGGAGTCAAGTTTTTAATAAATTAACATAAATTAATTTATTTTGATTAATTAAATTGACCAATGAAAATGAATTAATTATGTAGTTTTTCTATGTTGGTCGAATTCATATTTTCAAGACTAATAAATCTCAAGGGTAAAATAGAAAAAATAGTATTATTTATGTATTGATTTTGTGAAATGACAATAAGGAGAACATATAAATAGGGGAAGCAACATTTTACGTAGCCTTCTTCAGATCTGGTTGTCTCCATCTTTTGTTTGTGTCTTCTACTCATTACTTTTGTTTTTTTGGATGTATATCGGGGTGGAGCTATAGCCATTCCACGATGTCCAACTGAGCATTTTTCGTCGAAAAAATTACTTATATATATATACATACTAGTTTTGGATACGTGCTTTGCACGTGTATATTACACGTTTAAGTTATTAAAAAAAGATAAATGACTAAAATTTAATCGTGTACATATTCAAAATGTTTAAATGGATTTATAGGACAAATATTTGAAGTATTTAAACTTTTTATTAGTTTATTAAGAATAGAATATTTTAAAAAATATTTTTAAAATTTTAAACGATGTAACACATAATTGTATTGAAAATTGCTCAAAGTGGTAATAATGAGGTGACTTATTTAGTATATAAATCTTTATATGTTGGTGTATTGTCACGACCCGAGCCTACACCCTGGACGTGGCCGGCACTCAAGAATCATTGTTGGCCCTCAAGCGAACCCTTATCCTAGCTGACTACAAGCGGAAGACTAACTCAAGCATACATAAGCATCAAATTGAAAGAAGTGTTTAAAAACAAATTAATAAATTTCAAAACTGAACTGGATATATTGAGTATGAAAGATAAGTTTTAAATAAAATATCTGAAATTGAAAGACTCTCAAAAACTATCTATCTGTGAAGCCTCTACTATTAAGGAAGGATGTCGGGACAAGACCCACGACACCTCAAAAGTACTAACTGGAAAGTAATTGTGAAATCCTCTGAAATACAAGGAGGCTCACCAAAGCTAACTGAAGTGTAGAATGAGATCAACGAAGCGTCTGTTGAAAATCATGAACGCCTATATATGCATCATAAAAAGATGCAGGTTGAATGGCATCAGTACATGGAATGTACGAGTATGTAATATGGTTGAGTAAACAAATAACCGAACTAAATGACTGAAAGCAACTCAACTGAATCAATACATGAACATGAAGTGAAAACCATTTTAAGCTTTACAATAAAATATACAATGAAAACAACATGAAAATAATATACTTTACTTGTGGGGAGTTTCTCTAACCGACAACCATGGCCATGAGCCTAGCAATGATACAACGTTTCGCCTCACGTTGCCAGAACCATCTTATATTTTGCCAGGGTATAGGATGATATCGTGACTATGGATCCATCTAATTGGCCATCTCCGAGGCAGTGAGGAGTTGCATGAAGAATCAATGTTATTCTATCATACGCTGGGTACGTAGTTTTGTGGGACTTCTGAATCATAAAAGACTCTAACCCAACTCGGTGCTCGATACTACTCCCAAAATAATTAACATAACTTTGTGCTCAATTCACCCATTACCAAGAATGAACTTCTTACATTACTTTAAATACTTTTCAAAACATGAGACGTGTTTACCTTCTTGAAAACATGCACTTATGAATTTATCTTTCAAGTCCAATAATCAACATAAATACATATGTATATGTAAATATATATGAATAAAATAACATTAGAAACTCTTAAGTCTTTATGAAATAGAACTTTTAAACTTTTTTCTCAAAACTCATCTTTACTTCCTCAAAAACCCAGTTTAAAAATCAATTGTTGGCTTTGAAAAAACTTCTCAGAATTTATATCTCAAAATAGGATTCATGCTGAATTATAGACATGAACAAATCAACTCAAGGGTCTCAATAACAATATAGAAACTCAATACTTAGGAATAGAATTTCAAAAAAAATCAGAAATTCAAGAACTCAAAATCAACTTATCTCAAGAATACTCAAATCTAGGGGTAGAATCCTAGATTTCTCTTTTACTGATTTGAAAGTAGATGTAGGGCGTGAGGATGAACTAGTCCAACACTATGATAGCCTTGCATACCTGAAAGAACAAGGTTCTTGAAGAATCTTGAAGAAAAACTTGATTAGAAGCCTTGAAACCCTAGCTTGAAGGAGAACAATCAAGAAACCCTTTCTTGGGATTCTTGAATTAGTTTCTTGAAATCTCTATGGCCAAGGATTATGATTTTTATTTGTGATTCATAATGTATAAAGGAATTTGAGTTGGGAAGAATGAAATTGGAACTGAGAAGGTTCCAATTGGTATCTGGCCTTAGGGGAGGTATAAATACATGGATGATCAGTAATGATCATCTATGGAGCAAACTAATCAATAACTTAAACTTATCTGTGAGTTGTAGCTTGAAACTGTGAATGTGTGCATATTGTTGTCTGATTTAATTGTTTGGTGTGAAAGATACATTACTTGGATGCTATGATATGATTATGTGCATAGTAATGCTTGTTTGGATTTTGATGTGTGCAATATGCTAGTCTAAATGTTCAAAAATGTGCGAGTCGTAATTGCCTGAGTTTCGTGAACCTGATGTCGAGAAGAGAGTCATCATTAGGTTAGGTGCAAGGGTCTAGATAAGCTACGATGTAATTCGTAAACAAAATCTGGACGTGTGTTGCAACCGACTATAATCGTGCGAGTGTATGGGCATATGTTGGGGATGTGCGTGTTAGTGGTGTTGGATTAATGGGAAATGAATTCTGGAGTATGTACCGATAGGTGGACTTGGGGTAGGCAATGACTATCCTAGTTAAAAGGATTATCCTAAATGCTTAGTTATAGCCTGGGAATCAACGAACAACTTTAGAAATCGGGAAGAACCCATGAAATTGTTGACCTGGGTACTATTTCCGTCGGAGCCGCTGGGACGGGATTATTCCCGCCAGAGCGGGACAGGGCGAGACAGAATCTCAGTCCTGTCTCCCTTGTTTTTCCCTAATCACACATATGGACCCTGAACCATACATAGGTTAATCCCTGCAATTTAATCAGTACTTAGCAATAAATAGTAAGTTATAAACACCTAGAATCTAATTATTGGCTATGAAAATAGCAAAAACCAGCATCCATGTGCTTACAAAAATGTAAGGAAAAACAAAAGAAAATAGAATTTTGTTCATTACATGCCCAAGATGGGGCAAAACCAAATCAGGATCCCTGGGAATGGGAAGTGTCATTATCAGACTCTAGGTCCTCTGGGGCCATCTCGCCAGTCCATGCCTCTCTCAAATTGTTACTTCAAGGTTGCAACTTGCAAGGCACCCTACTCCTAAAACATATAGGAAAAGGAAAAAAAATAATTTTTAAAATTTATGGGCAGTCCTAAATAATACGGGAAAAAGAGAAAGTTTCTAAATTTGTGGCCACTCCTAAACAACATCAGAAAAGGGGAATAAGTTTCTAAAAATCCTTTATAAGAGGGGTTTGATGAGTTAAAGTTTCTTATTACACTTTTAACAAATTACTTTTTTTCCTCATAATTGTTCTTGTTCGAGTGAGTGTGAGAAGAATGGATATTGAAAGAGTTTTCATGAGTTGTTACAAGATCGAGGAGCAGCCTGATGATATTTTCAACTTGATCGAATTAGCTCTGCGTGTTGGTGCATTCAAGTATCAGCCACAGTTCGAAAAGCGCAAAGCCAGAATAATCAAGTTCCTGATGAATCCCTCGATAACATCAACTGATGATGATGATGATGATGATGAAGAAGAAAAAGAGGTTATCGAGGACAATGTTGGTGATCAAGATGACGTGACCAGCATTGAAGAGCCTGAGAAAGAAGAAGAAGATGGGTTAGGAACACAACAAAGAACTGCAGAAAGCAACAAACCCTTGGTGACGAAGATTAGAATAGTCATCCGCAAGTCTGTATGTTATGGATCAGCCAGCCCAAGTCAGTAGGGAAATTGAGAATGGGCCTGAGACAATTAGGAAAAGCCAACGAATTAAACAGCCCAACAAGAAGCTACAAGACTATATCCTAGGCTAATGCAAGGACAAGCACGTGGGAGTAGTTGTTATATGCAGGAGTATGGCAGAGTAGTGGGTAACAAAGAAGTGATAGCAACACTCTCTTAATTCTCATCTTATTTCTTCTAAGTTCTCTCACCTCTTTCTATCTTATTATTTAGTTTTTTTCCATACTGCAATTGCTGCTCTTGAGAGCTGAACTATTGAATCTCACTACTGTAATCGTTCTTCTTGGGTAATCAATTAGAGTACTGCTACTGTTTTGTTATTTGGGTTGAAGTTTGTTCCACTGTACAAGTTGCTCCTGCGGAGAAACAGAACAATTGCAGTGCAATAACAGAAAGCAGCACAGAGTTGAAGAAAACTGACTTGGTTCAACAATTGGATAAACAAGGAACACCACACTCCCATAATAGTACTACTATGCCATCAAGAAAGAGGATGAAAGAGTCCACCAAACGAGTACAAGTTGCTCCTCCTCGTGTAAGACTTCTTTCTGATTTATCTTTCGAGAAGCACCTTGACAGAGACAAGCAGAGCCACAAAGGTTTCAAGAAGATGGAGAGTGATTATCACACAGAAAATAAGAGAGAAGAAGGAGCACAAAAGACCCATACCCAATGCAGGAGAAAAGAGTGCACCACTGGTTCAACAAATGTATGTTATGGATCAGCCAGCCCAAGTCAGTAGGGAAATTGAGAATGGGCCTGAGACAATTAGGAAAAGCCAACGAATTAAACAGCCCAACAAGAAGCTACAAGACTATATCCTAGGCTAATGCAAGGACAAGCACGTGGGAGTAGTTGTTATATGCAGGAGTATGGCAGAGTAGTGGGTAACAAAGAAGTGATAGCAACACTCTCTTAATTCTCATCTTATTTCTTCTAAGTTCTCTCACCTCTTTCTATCTTATTATTTAGTTTTTTTCCATACTGCAATTGCTGCTCTTGAGAGCTGAACTATTGAATCTCACTACTGTAATCGTTCTTCTTGGGTAATCAATTAGAGTACTGCTACTGTTTTGTTATTTGGGTTGAAGTTTGTTCCAATTGGTGCTTTCATGGCTTTGGACTCCATGGATACTTCTAAGAAATCGGATGGTGCTGTACCGTCGGACTCGTCGACGGAACTTTCTCTTTTATCAACTCGTGTGGACAACTTGACTCAGTTAGTGCAGGATTTTATCTCCACGGTGGCTGTTCAGTCAGCGGTTGTTGATCCTGTTCATCCAAGGCAGGCGGCTGTGTGTTTATCTCCTGGATCTAACTCTTCTGGTCCGCTCACAATCCGACACAAACCAGCGGCGGTGGCACTTAGTCGTTTTAAGGGTCAAAATGTTGAGGCATGGTTGTTTCAAGCTGAGCGTTATTTTGAGTTTTATTCCATTCTACCAATTCATCAACTTTCCTTGGCATCGTTCTATTTGGATGGTGAGGCTCTCGATTGGTATCGCTGGATGTTTCGCAACAAGCAACTCTTTGATTGGCCACATTTTGCTGAGAAGCTCCGTCTCCGATTTCGGGATATATCATTGCGCTCTCCGGAGGGCAGACTTTCGAAGCTTGTACAAACGTCCACTGTGGCGGAGTTTCGCGCCCGGTTCGAGGCGATATCTAATGAAACAATACACTTGCCAGATGAGTTTTTGGTTAGGTGTTTTATTTCGGGCCTTCGGTCAGATATTCAAGATGAAGTCGCTATTAGAGAACCCACATCTCTAGAAGAGGCTATACGTTTAGCTAATATGTATGAGCAGAAGTTGAATTACGCTAAAAGTCCAGTTCGTCCTGCTTTTGCGAGAACTCAACCCCTTTTGCCCAACCCTACAACACCATCTCCTTTAATTCTGTCTAAGCCAACTGCTCCATCATCTGCCTTTCCCAAAATTCCCTTCAAGCGCCTGACGGCCTCCGAGATCCAGGCTAGACGAGACAAAGGGCTCTGCTACAATTGTGATGAGAAATACACTATTGGCCACAAGTGCAAGGCACTTCCTCAATTCCTGCTTTTGGAGGAGTCTTCTGAATCCTCAATCGAGTTGCCAGACTCTTTTTGTCCTGAGGATTTCCTAGCTGAAGAACTTCAATGTTTAGAGGTTCAAGCTCATTCTACTATATCATATCATGCCTTGTCCGGTGGTACTTCTCACGCTACTCCTCGCTTTCATGGCCATGTCCGCGGTTCCCCTGTGCAAGTATTCGTTGATGGGGGAAGCACTGATAACTTTGTGCAAGCACGAGTTGCCAAATTTCTGAATCTGTCTATTGAGCCCGCACCTCCTTTTTCGGTGGTGGTTGGCAGTGGTCAGCGTCTTCGCTGTGATGGGGTGGTACGACAAGTCCCTTTGTCGATCCAGGGGTGTAACCTTGTGGTTGACTTATATGTTCTCTCGCTACATGGTGCAGATATTGTTTTAGGGGTATCTTGGTTGAGTTCGTTGGGGCCAATTCTACAAGATTACTCTCAACGTCTCTTTGAGTTCTCCCTTAAGGGACAAAAGTACAGCTGGATTGGAGAGCCTTCTGATAAGGCTCAACCTGTGCAATTACACACATTACGACGACTTTCTGAAACTGAGGCGGTGTCCTCTTACTTTTGCCTCCGGCTGGTTACGCGTGAGAGTCTTGGTCCGCCTCCTTATCCTCCTGATATGGACTCACTTTTTGCTTCATATGAAGATGTGTTTTGCAAACCACAAGGTTTACCTCCAGCACGCGAGCTAGATCATGCTATCCATCTCAATCCAGGGTCAGGACCTGTTAATGTTAAACCCTACAGGTATCCCTATTTTCAGAAGAACATCATGGAACAATTGGTTGCTAATATGCTCACTGATGGAATAATTCGGCCTAGCACTAGTCCTTTTTCCTCACCTGTTTTATTAGTTCGAAAGAAGGATGGCACATGGCGATTTTGTGTGGACTATCGTGCCTTGAACATTATTACTGTGAGAGATCGATTCCCTATTCCAACTATTGACGAACTTTTTGATGAATTACATGGCGCAATTTTTTTTTCTAAGTTGGATTTGCTCTCTGGCTACCATCAGATACGTGTTCGTCCTGAGGATGTGGCAAAAACGGCTTTTCGCACTCATGAAGGACATTATGAATTTCTTGTGATGCCATTTGGCTTGTCTAATGCTCCTTCTACATTTCAAGCTACAATGAATTCGATTTTTCGGCCATTACTTCGTCGCTGTGTTTTGGTATTCTTTGATGACATCTTGGTTTATAGCCAGACTTGGGGACATCACTTGCAGCACCTTACTCAAGTTCTCCAGATTCTTCGGGAACACAAATTTGTGGCTAAATGTTCTAAATGCTTATTTGGGCAGCCTCAAATTGACTATCTTGGTCATGTCATTTCCAGCAAGGGGTTAGCAGTTGACCCTTCTAAAATATCAGTTATTCAGCAGTGGCCAATTCCCACAAATATTAAGAGGGTACGGAGTTTCTTAGGACTCGCTGGTTACTATAGGCGCTTCATTAAGAATTATGCCACAATTGCTAGTCCTTTGACTGATTTACTCAAAAAAGTGTCTTTCAAGTGGGGAGATGCCGCACAACTGGCATTTGAGACTTTGAAGAACAAGCTGAGTTGCACTCCAGTCTTGGTGTTACCAGACTTCACACAGGAATTTCACGTGGAGACTGATGCTTCAGGCGTCGGTGTGGGGGCTGTCTTGTCCCAGCGAGGCCATCCTATCGCATTTTATAGCCAGAAGTTGTGCCCTCGAATGCAAAAAGCTTTCACCTACCATCGCGAGATGTATGCCATTACTCAAGCTGTTGGTAAATGGCGGCAGTATTTATTAGGACGGCGTTTCACAATTGTTACTGACCAACAATCACTCAAAAATCTGACTGATCAAGTTATTCAGACGCCGGAGCAACAACAATGGTTAGGGAAGTTGGTTGGGTTTGATTTTCATATTGTGTATCGCCCTGGGAAGCTTAATAGGGTTGTTGATGTCCTTTCTCGACCTGTTGAAGGGACTTTAAATGCCTTATCTATTCGAACTTTTGACTGGATTGATGAAATTCGAATGGCCACTCAATTTCATCCAGAATTGCTTGCCATTAAACATGGCATTGAGCAACAGACTGCTACCGACTCCGATTATGTCCTTCGAGAAGGATTATTATTTTTCAAAGGAAGACTAGTTATCCCATCTGATTCCCCAGTATGCATCCGTCTATTACAAGAATTTCATTCTTCACCTATTGGGGGACACGCTGGGATCGCTCGTACTTTTCATCGTCTCTCATCTAATTTTTATTGGCACCATATGCGGCGAGATGTGCGAGTTTTTGTTACTGCTTGTCAAGTGTGTCAACAAATGAAGGACATGAATCGCAGCCCTGCCGGCCTGCTGCAACCATTGCCTATACCGAACGTGGTGTTTGAGGAGATCGCTATGGACTTCATCACTTGCCTTCCGAGTTCTAAGGGTAAGGCGACAATCATGACTATTGTAGACCGCTTGTCAAAATATGGGCATTTTATCCCATTGCCATCCACGTTCACCGCACATTCTGTTGCATTAGCTTTTGTAGCCAATGTCATTAAACTACATGGACCTCCGCGCGTTATCGTAACTGACAGGGATCCGAGATTTCTTCACTCGTTCTGGCAGGAAATTAATAGACTCCAAGGCACCTCTCTGGCTATGAGTACAGCGTATCACCCGCAAACTGATGGCCAATCTGAAGCCTTGAACAAGTGCATTGAACAATATTTGAGGTGTTTTGTTTCGGAGAGTCCTCACGAGTGGGTACCAATGCTATCTTGGGCTGAATTTTGGTACAACACCGCCTTTCATTCGTCTGCCGGAGTGACACCTTTTCAAGTATTGTATGGGCGGGAGCCTCCTACTATTTCTCGTTATGTGTTGGGCAGTGCTGCAGATGATTTAGTCGAGAAGTACATGCTGAAGAGAGATGATGTTTTGGTGCTACTTAAGAACAACTTGTCGAAGGCTCAAATTCGTATGAAATTATATGCTGATGCTCGTCGAACGGATTTGCAACTGGAAGTTGGTGATTGGGCGTTTGTGAAGCTCAAGCCTTACAGGCAGCTTTCTCTCCGTTTGCAGCACCACCACAAACTCGGCCGGAAGTACTTTGGTCCTTATCGAGTGCTGAAACGAATTGGCTATGTTGCATACAAACTTGATCTGCCAGCTGATGCACGAATTCACCCAGTCTTTCATATTTCTATGCTCAAGAAATGTGTGGGAACGCCTGCTGAACAAGTGACACCCCTGCTTCAGGTTCCTGTCGAAGATCAACACCCACCGAACCTTGAGGACAAGGTTCTCGATTGGGAGGGAAGTATTGTTATGGATCAGCCAGCCCAAGTCAGTAGGGAAATTGAGAATGGGCCTGAGACAATTAGGAAAAGCCAACGAATTAAACAGCCCAACAAGAAGCTACAAGACTATATCCTAGGCTAATGCAAGGACAAGCACGTGGGAGTAGTTGTTATATGCAGGAGTATGGCAGAGTAGTGGGTAACAAAGAAGTGATAGCAACACTCTCTTAACTTCTCATCTTATTTCTTCTAAGTTCTCTCACCTCTTTCTATCTTATTATTTAGTTTTTTCCATACTGCAATTGCTGCTCTTGAGAGCTGAACTATTGAATCTCACTACTGTAATCGTTCTTCTTGGGTAATCAATTAGAGTACTGCTACTGTTTTGTTATTTGGGTTGAAGTTTGTTCCACTGTACAAGTTGCTCCTGCGGAGAAACAGAACAATTGCAGTGCAATAACAGAAAGCAGCACAGAGTTGAAGAAAACTGACTTGGTTCAACAATTGGATAAACAAGGAACACCACACTCCCAAAATACTACTACTATGCCATCAAGAAAGAGGAACGAGTCCACCAAACCTCCCCGTGTAAAACAACTTCTTTCTGATTTTTCTTTCGAGAAGCAGCTTGACGGAGACAAGCAACTCCAGAAACAGAGTCACAAAGGTTTCAAGAAGATGGAGAGTGACACAGAAAAGAAGAGAGAAGAAGGAGCACAACAGACCCTTACCCAATGCAGGAGAAAAGAGTGCACCACTGGTTCAACAAACAGCATACTGCCGCCGTTGATGAAGATGAATGTAGAAGTTGCTCCTCCTCCTAATCCAAAACAAAGCAACTGCAGTTCAAGTACAAGACCAATGCAGAAAACATCACAAAGCTATGCAGTTGCAAGACCAATGCAAAAAGAAACACAAAGCGACAATGTAATGAAGAAGAAATTTGAATCAAGCAAGAGGAAGTTCGAGCAAAGGTTAGCAGATCAAAGGGAAGCCAAGAGACGGATTGTATTGGTAGACTTTCATCAAATGCCTAAAGCTGCTAATGACCCTCCTGCTCCCAAGCGCTGTTGGAATAGGAAAAGGTTTTGAGATTATGATGATTCGAGTTGTCTTACTTTTTTGTCTTGTAATTTTGGAGAGCATCAGCATTCACTTCATTTTTTGTATGTATGAATGATCTTTTACTTTGGAATAGAGAAGTTACATTCATAAAAACAGCTCGAAGGACATGCTAACTTATGTCCTGGCTCTACGTTTTCTCTTGGCTACTCGAGCCAGATGATTACTTAAAACATCAAGAGCCAACAAACTGATTACACTTTTCTCTACAGAAAATCGATCACCTATTTAAGCAAGAAATAATTATTAAGTAAAGGGGCTCTCTAATCTGTAAGACTGTAACTAGTAACTAACACATCCCCTTTTCATAGTCGTCTCGAAGTTCAAATTTAATATAGAAAAACTTGCAGAGACAAGACATCCGAAAGTACTGGTTCATCTCAAGTTAGAAATGAGAGAAAAAATAAACAAGACTTATTTTGCAAGACAACAAAACTAAAATTACCTTATGAGGAGTAAGTAAATGCAAAGGTTGTACACTTTTCATTCAACATAGCAAGGATTTTTTAAGTCAATGTTGAATTAATAAGAGTAGAGATTCTTAGGAGCAGCAGAGCACATGAGCCTTATTTTCCTATAGTCTGGTTTGTTTCCAGATCTGCAATGATTTAGAATGCTTCCGCTGTTCTCCTAATACTTGTATTCATGGCTGAACACCTTTAGGGTCTGTTTGGAAAGTCACTTGGTAATTGGAATTGGTGTAATTACTAGGGTAGTAATTACCAGCCTAGTAATTACACTGTCTAGTAATTACACTGACCTGTTTGGTTGTCACAGTGTAATTACACTGTAATTACACATGTGCTGTTTGGATGCCACAGTGTAATTACACATGTTCTGTTTGGATGCATAATTGCAATTATAAAATTATAATAAATTTTAAAAATAAAAATTAATTATTTAAAATTTATACTAGACAAATAAAAAACTTTATAAATGACATTAAATTAAATATTTAAGATATATATTCTTGTTTGAAAATATATTAATTAATAAACATATTTTCTATAACTACTATTATGAAAAAATAATTGATTTATATTTTTTCAAATTAATATATTTCAATTGAATTGATCGTAACAACTAAAAGTATGAAGTTTCTACGAATATCGTAAAATGCATGTTTGATAAAATGAATAATATATAAATAAATGTCATAAATTATTAAATGTTTGACAAAAATATAATCTATCAAGTCTAATTAAAAAATGACATGCAATGTAAATTCAATATTACTAAAACAAATGAAACTGAAAATATAACATAAGTTATAAATTCAAAACAAAAAATTTAAC